TGGCATTCCCCCGGAGGAGCTGGAGGAAGTGTCTGGAGAGAGGGAAGTCTGGGCATCTTTGCTTAAACTGCTGCCCCCGCGACCCGGTCCCGGATAAGCAGAGGAAAATGGATGGATGGATGGACATATATATATATATATATACATATTTTTTACAGTCACACTGTGGGAATCGATGTCCTAGACAAAAATCTAGTCCCCAAAATCTAAACCATTACATTTTAAAGTGATGACTTAATTTAAGGTTAGGGTGAGGTTATAGTTATCTTAAGGTTGGAGTAATTCTTCAGGAAATAAATCTATTCAATGTAATCTCCCCTGGAAATTCATACAAGTGTGTGCGTGTGCGAATGTGCTGCTGTCCGTTTCATTTTATACAGATTTTTTTTTATTTTTTATGTAGCATTGTTATAAAAAGACATCCAGTGATCTTAGCAAATATCCAACAACACAACAGCTTATTGAGGTCATACCCATGATGTCCAAGTACTCCTCAGCCAGAACATTGGGCCCCCGGTCAATGGGTTTGCCTGAGCCGTTAAACACACGCCCTGAAAGAGGAAGTTTGTCTCCCTTAAGTCATGTAGAAATCAAGTTGCTTAATATCAAATACTTGATTTATCTTGAAGTTGAATGCAAAGATAATTACTGACACACCAATAAAATAACACTCATTAGATGACACTTCCAACCACATTTGAGCCATTCTGTTTTGTATCAGACTAAACAGATAAGAGTGGCTGAAACAAAAGCAGGCTTAATTTCTACTGCTGTTCAAATATATGTAACCTTGTGCTGTACTGATATAATCACACTGATTGAGACATTCAAGAACTTTCAGAAAAAAAATGTTCAGTGTTGTTTTTCAATTACCATTTACTCAGCAATTTCAAAAACATCAAGTAAAACCAGCACATTGAATGAAAATGCAGTATACTGTAACACTTAAAGCGGCCTTCAACACGCTTTAAAATTTTCATCTCTGTGTTGCAAATATAGATGGATGAAAGGGAAACTGTGCAGCTACAACCAAACCCTTAACTGTAGACTAACATAGGATGATTGTTACTTTTTTCTGTGGTGTTACATTTGGATTAAATATGCCAAGTGAAATCATATTCAACATACCTAGCATGTCCTCTGACACTGGGGTACGCAGGATATCACCAGTGAACTCACAGGCTGTTTTTTTGGCATCAATGCCTGATGTTCCCTCAAACACCTAAACAAACGCAGACACAAGCAATAAAAAAATAAAAATAAAAAAAATTAAGAAAATCAAAACATAAAACAGTCACTACTCAATACAGATTTTCTGTCTTGGTGAATTACAGGAATAGTTCACATTTTTTAAGTGTGGTTTCGCATGTAACAGGCTAACATTTGCTAATTAGCACTAAACACAAAGAACCCATGAGGGTGGTGGGAATGTTATTAGTTTTGCGGGTATTTGGTCAAAGTATTGGGCAAAACAAAATTTTGATTGACTTCATGAATTCTGAACTTTAACTTGAATTTTAATTTCAAAGTTCAGGAGGAGATTCACAAAAATAACATTTTACTAGAGTAATGTTATCATTTCTGGTCTGCCAAAGAATACAATAACTCAGCAACAATTAATCCAGAATTCTGCTGCATGATAGCTGGCTGAAACCAGAAGGAGAATACCTATTACATCCATCTTATAATCTTTACACAGGTTGCCTTTTAGCTTTTCCATTTCACTTCAAAATTGTTTTTTTAGTCTATACATGATGCACTACATGTTCTTGCACTTGACAATCTGAAAATTGTTCTAATCAACGAACCAGGAAGGCAACTCAGATTGCCTGGTTCTACTGGGATAGTTGTCCAAAAATGCAAACAGAAAACATTTGGTGATGTTGCTTTCAGCCTTTTGCACTGAGCAACTGAAACAGGGTATACATACATCTGTTGAGCCTGGTTTTATTGCAGTGTCTAATAATTTCGATTTCTTATCATATTTATGGTGTTTTGATAGTGGCTGCAGAACTGAGAACAGCTGTATTAACTAATTCCCTCTAATTTTCAATCATTAAGGGTGAAGTGAGAGTCAAAACAAACTCAAGCAGTATCCCCTCCTCTGCTCCTTGCCCCTCCTGCCCTGTCTCTGAAACTACATCATATGTGGTCACAACAGCCAGAGACAGTTGTAGTAGTCAGGTAGAGTAGCAGTAATAACTGGTTTCAGAACCAGTGTATACAGAATATAGAGCCTGTGGTTTTATGTGGCATTGCAGCAACATAATGTCAAATCAAGAGGTTTACATTTTAGCGACATACATGCATATGTCTAACACTGTTTGTTGGGGATGCATCTGTAGTAACACAAGTAAATTATACAGAGGAATGTTTTTCCCCAGTAATACGGACACAGTACTAGTGTTCCAGCCACTATCGCATTGCATTCAGTGTTATATACTTGACACACATAACCGTGAGTTTTATGTGAAACAAGAAAAATAGAAGAAAGCCACATCTGCATCAAATTTTAGTCCTTTGGATGCTTTTAGTGCTCTCCATCTCTGACATGCCAAAGTAATGTTAACCCTGGTTTTGCCTCGCTCTTTGTCACACTCTTTCTGTGCTAAAGAACGTGGCCTCTTGGGTCTAACAGGTCCACTCCCATCCTGGGTTGGACCTGCACAGGGAGCCTCCATTGTCTGTCTTTGAAATCAGCCACAGTGGTTTGAAAAACACATCTTATAACCTTGGATCAGTGGGGGCGTGGAAGAAGTGTGGTGTGGATTTTAACAACACTGGCTACAGAAGGCAAGAAATAAACAGGGCCTGAAGATAGCAGAGTGGTGTGGGGCTGTTTAGTACAGCAGGGGGACAACACTTCTAGTCAATTTTTTACTTGATTTATCTGAATTTGCATGTTTAATATCTTTAAATACAAATGTGTTGACATAGCCTGGCTTTGATTAGAATATTTTATATTCTATTTAGGTTATTCCTTTATTTTATTATATTTATGCTTTAAAATGTTTTGTAAAATATTTTGCCATCTTTTATCTGTTTTTATTTTATTGGTTTTAATTACTTTACATTTCATCTTTTTTGGTGTGCATTAGTCTCACTGTTTTCAAATTCTTTTTACTGTAAGCTTGTCCAAAAGCACTTTGAATCACATGACCTGTATGAAAGGTGGTTTACAAGTACAATTTAACTGATTGGTTAAGAAAATAGCTGGGCACTGTAGTTTTTATCCAATGTTACACAAGCAGGAGTAAATGTAAACTGTGTATTTATTGAGCACTATTTTCAGCTGCGGGTTAATACACACTTATTGTGTGAGTGTTTACAGGAGCGATTGGTGCGGTTCAGTCAGTTCCATGCCATTCATTTTAATTTGTATAGCCTCACACAAGAATAATCTCAAGGCACTTTATATAATAATGTTAAAACCTTACAGTATTATAGAGAAAAATCTGACAAACACCCCTTGAGCAAGCACTTGGCAGTCAGCAATCACAGAAATCTTTCTTACCTGGACAACAGCCTTGCTTCCAATCACCTCCAGGACCTGCCCACTCCTCTTGGTGCCATCTGGCAAGGTCAGGTGGACAATTTCTGCATATCTGGGGAACTAGTTTACAGGGATTCAACAGTTTCACTATAGCTGTCCAAAACTATAATTATACTATATTTAATACAAATATAGATTTACAGAGTAAATAAATAAATAATAAATCAAAAACAGCATGTAGACCAATTGATATACAGTACAGTTTATCAAAAAGAGAACTCAACAGCCTCACCTTCACTTTATCCAGGATCACCAAGGGTCCATTTACACCTGACACAGTAGAATAAGCTGAAAGAGAGGAAAGTTCCATTGTACATTAATTTCTTTATTTCAACAGACCACAGGACAGGAAAAAAATGCAGTCAATACCGACAACATTCCCATTTCCCTGTGTAGCTGAAAGCCACCAATCAACATGGAACAAGTAGCCTTCATTACAGCCAACATCGTTAATAATCACAAACTGACCTTTCATAGTGAGATTTAAACAGCTTTCAAGCACTTTCAGCCCCAAATGTCAAAGGCAAGCAAATGTCAGGAAAAAAATGCATGAAATTCACTTGGTCATGTATGATGAGTACAACTACAATGACACATGACTAGGCCCCGGGTTACTGGTTACAAATGTGCCCACCTATCAGCCCAATCTGCCTGACTGAAATCGCATTTTTGTTGGCTGCCGTCATGTCAGCGTGCCTGCTAGATTTTTGTGTTTTGCGTTTCCTCTTGAATCTGGCTCACAAATCCATACAGAATATAGACTGTATAAGGGCCAACCAACGCAACTCCGTGCCCTCCCAACGCCACCCGTGCAATGAGTCCTCAGCACTGTGCCTTTATTTAATCTTTATTTACCTGACAAATCTAAAAGAAAAGGTCTTCAGTGTTTTCACTGATCAACTTTACTGCATTTTGTAAATATAAGCAAATTGTGAATTTGATGCCTGCAACACACACACACAAAAAAAAAAAAATAAGTTGAGTCAGAGGCTAAACAAAACTGAAGGTTTTACAGAATATTCCAGTAACACCATTCTGAAAAATTCCAAGTTTTGCAGATTAATAATTAACAGGGGGGGTCTCAGTCGTTGGGATCAAGGATGGTCATGGCTCACCACTCTTTCATGAGAGAACTGTCAAACATCAAAAATAATATTTTCCTACTTAGGATTGTAAACAATTTAGGTCTTTCAACATCTACAATACATGGTATTGTGAAAAGATTCAGGGAATCCAAGGAAATCTCAGTGCATAAAGGCCAAAAACCACTGTTGAATGTGTGTGACCTTCGAGCCCTCAGGAGGCATTGCAGGAGAAACCTTCATACTAGCGTGATGAATATTGTCACATACTCCTCATGGGGTTTATCTGTCAGCCTTGTTTTCAGTCTGCTTGTGTGCAAGTGGGTGGAGTTGTCACTCATTTCTATCAATGTGCATCACCTGGCCTGGGTCTTCAGACAAGTATAAAAGACTGTTTGTCTTTGGCTCCCAGGGACTTGGCCTTCTCTACCCACCGTCATCTGTTTGGTTTGTTTATACACCATACAAACATTCTTTCACTCATTCATACAGTGCACTCACTGCTGACTTTTGCCTAGTTACACACCACACAATAATGTTTAGTTATTTTTGGTCATGTTTAAGTTAAAACAAATATTAGTTTGTAACCTTAGTATTGTGTGGGGCCTCCCTTTACCAGCTGTGAGCCATGTGGTTACAAATGGGGGCTCATGCAGGATCTGTGTAGCCAATTTCCCTTTTTTTTTTTTTTTTTTTTTTTAAGTGTTTTGTGCTGCATAGCAGGTTCACATAGCACTGTTGTTTAGGGGGATGGTACACACAGACTTTGGTCTCTTATTGAAAATGTATGGCACATCATAAAGAGGAGAATCAGGCAATGCCGACCATAGACTGCTGAACAGAGCTGAAGTCTTGTATCCAGCAAGAATGGGCCAATATTCCATTTACAAAATTGTAACAAGTATCAACAGTTCCCAAATGATTAAAATGTAATAAAAGGATGATGTAACAGTGGTAAACATGCCTCTGTTTTTGTGTTGCAGGCATCACATTCTAAATGTTTATTTAAAACACTGAAAATCTTTTGTACTTTTGTTAGTTAAAATTCAAGCAAATGAACAAATCACAGATTTTAGTTTTTATTGCCTTTTTATAAATGGGGTTTGCACTTGGACATGTTTCTTGGAGAGCTGTGCTCTTCTCAGTTCACAAAGAAAAGAGACCACGTGTTGCTCAGAGTTGAATGAGAATTGCTATTTATATTGACCAGGGGATGTCTGTCAATATGAAAAGTGACGAGGTGACCATGTAGAAGAGGTCAGGTTCTAAGGAAACCAAAAGTCTATCAGCCGGATATCAAAAGCAGTTGGTCTGTCAAAATCAACAGCTAGATAAATTCTAAAAGTAAACACAAGCTCAGAGGAAAACTAGAAAATGCCAACAACCTGGTAGACATGGGAGGACAAGTTTTATGGCTGTGTGGAAAATCATTCACATGGTGAAGAAGCGTTTATGACCAGTCCAGCAAGCTCTCCAGGAAGTAGGCTTCAAAAAGTATAGAGACATCTTACCTTTTTGTCATAGATTAAATTTTTACAAATCTCGTTTCACAATGACTGAGTCAATCATGCTCCCGGGAACAGCTTTAGAAATTATTTTATAACCTTTTCCTGATTTGTGCTACATAGAGTTCCTTGGACTTCATGTCCTGGTCTTTGTCCTGATATGCAGTGTGAATCGTAGGACCTTTATTTTTATATATTGTGTATGTGTGTGTGTGTGTGTGTGTGTGTGTGAACCCGAGTCATTCACCACAATCTGGCCCCTGAGACACAAACTGAGACAAAGGCTGTTTAGGATATATTTAATTTTATTTTGTAAAGGAACATATACATGGTTTTCTGTCTGCGCTCTCCTTGGTTTTTATCATCATACTTGAGCCAGATTTTTGATTTTCTCTTGCTTGGTCCCTGCCCCCCTCCCTCCACCAGCTCCTACTCTGCCCTCAGCGTGCGCGCGCACACGCACACACACACACACACACACACACACACACACACACACACTTTGTCTGTCTGGCTAATAGAGGGTGAAATGCAGGTGTATGTGGGAAATGCCTGCAGTACCGTAGGGCATTGACAGGTTATTTTGTTGGCCTCTGCCTAATTAGTGGCGTAGTGGATGCACCCCACTAGGCTTTAGTGCCTTATGTTTGTACCAGTCTGCTCTAATTTCTTGTGCCTTTGATATTGGACCCGAGACTGGCGGTTTGCACATAAAGAGGAACACCAGACCATGATAGAAAACCCAGTGGAAACAATGCTGCCACCTTCAGTCCCATGTCTTTGCATTCTACCAGCAAACTCTACAGATGTGTAGAGGGGCAGTGATGGGAAGGATCAACAGATTCCTTGCAGGATCAGTGTAAATTGGCTTAAATGTCAGCAGAGCGAGGGGTATATCATCATTCAGAGGACTGGCCAGGTTAGGGTGAGACCCCTTGCTTTTTTCTTTATCGCTATTGAGGATCCTCTGATGGTTAATCAATTATCACTTAGAACTAATTATTACAATTACTGCTCTTAAAGCACACTTTAATTACTGAGAATTTTGATATTTGTTCCATTCAACAACCACTACAACAGGTTAAACAACAATTTAGTATATTGCAACGATATGTATGACATTTGTTCGGGTTATGTTTCAAAACTAAAACTAGGCATTTAGTGTAAGGACATACAGTATTTATAGTCTGGTCTTACTTTGCACAACATTTTGTAAATTTATACAATATACTGTCAAAACGGTATTCAGAGCATTTGCTGTGGCTCCTAATTGGGATCAGGTGCATCCAATTTGCTTTAATTATCCTTGACATGTGTACAACTTGATTAAAGTCTACCTGTGGCAAATTGACTGGGCATAGTTTAGAAAGGTCCGCACCTGTGTGCATGTGTGCGTGTGCACACACACACACACACACGTCTCTGTTTGTTGGGCCACTTTGCAAAAATGATTAGATCTAGCTATTTGACAGCCTGGCCAAAACAGACTCTAATCTGGTCATGTTATCCATAAAATGTTTTCCCAAAAAATGTACTATATTACAATATAGTTTAAGATTGCAAAATAAAATTACATATAAACAACAGAAGATTTAATCTGTTAAACTCACTCCTACTATGATGAAATAACAGATGATGGGACAATGTCACTGGATGGTACAAATGCAGATTGCTCTTAACCACGGAGCCAGACAGGGGGACTTGAAGTCAGCAGGAGAGCACATTTACCTTACAGTAAGCAAAATGTTCTTGTCCCACACAAAATACAAAGCAACTACAGTATGCCATTCCTCACTGAAGGTCAGACAATGGCTTCAAAACAGCTACATTCATTAGGGATTTTTTTTTAAGGTCAGTGATTGACATCAGTACACTTTAACCTCAGATAGCTCCCCACAGCCAAACACACACTATACATTAAAAAAAAAATGCTTTTATTAAAATTCCATCAAACTTTCACAGCATTATTTTTTGTGGCTGACCCTTTTCCCCTTACAAATGGCATGTTGGCCATGTTTAAAAGGACTTAATAGCTACACTTAACCTACAAATTGCCCACAGGTCTCAATAGAGAGACATACGGCTATTTACAGAAGGCTGATAATAATGAAGATGCAGGGACACTCGAGCAACATAATTATGATTATCTTAGAAATCCATAAGCCTACTACCATTTTGTTCCAGCAATGGGAGGAGGTATATATAATTTGAAGACATTTTTTTAAGAGACTTTGCCTTCCCTCATTCACCATGAGCATCAAGCTACGTTTGCCAACCATGACATCACAACAGAGACATACAAACAAATCTAAAACAAATCATGAACAGGACATAAGGAATGAAACAAATAAGATGAAAGGAAATGGAACTATTACCTATTGACCTTTTAATAACAGATTTACAGCAGGCTTACTTTAAATAAAATGCTACAACTTGTGGGTGCAATGAACAAAGCATCTATAGGATTCTACCTTGAAAATATTGGACATTAGTGCAGAAAGGCAGCTCACTGAAACCTGACATTTACCATTTATAAATTGTCCTAGATATTTCTATAGACTTCATGGACAAAAGTAGTGTGAACACCTGAATATTACATTCATGTGTGGTTGAACACTCAACAACCACTGCCAAACTGTTAACTCAAATTTGGAAGCATAATTCTGTCAAAAATGCCACTGTCTATTCTACATAAATTCAC